ATTTCAAGATCTGACCATTTCTCTCAATTTCTACTAATACCTCCCTAGTTCAAGCAACCATCATCTCTAACCTAAATTATTCCAGTAGTCTCTTAGCTGGTCTCTCTGCGTCTGGCCTTGGATTTCTTGAAGTCTGTTCCCAGAACTGCAGCCAGATGACTTATTTTAGGAAATGTAACGGAGATCTTACACTTTCTTTGTGCAAATCTTCCAATTAATTCTTCTCTCACTTATGTAAAAAGCTTACAAGGACCTGCAGGTCACTAAATAATGTGGCCCTCCTGTCACCTCTTTAACCTCACATCAGATGACTTCCACCCTAGTTGGCTCTACTCTAGCCACATTCTCCTACATGCTTTCCTTGGAAAACTCCAGGCACTCACCTCTCTCATACATAGCCTTTGCTTTCTATTACTTCTGTTGAAATGCTCTTCCTCCAAAAAAACTGCATGACTCACTCCACTCCTTTAAGTCTTCATTTAAAAGTCCCTTTCTTATCACATAGTGCAGATTTCCCCTACCCAGAGTTAGCCTAAGTAAAAGTTAAGGGCTCAGTCCTTCACACTCCAAGTCAACCCAAGACTTCTCACACCAGTTTCAAGTTTAGGGTCCCCAGGCCACTCTCACTTCAGACTAGCTAGATACAAATTCAGGGTCCTTGTGGACTCCATAAGATTTGATAATGTGTTAGAATGACTTACAGAACTCAGGAAAGTGCTATAATTATAATTACATTTTTAACACAACAAAGGATATACATCAGGACCAAAGAAAGGGATATATAGAACAGGATCTGGTACTGACAGTGTTCCAAAAGCAAAGCTTCTATATATTTGAAGATGCACTACCTTCATGCCATCAATCATGGTAATGTGCCCTTGGAGTACTGCCATCCCAGGGAGCTCACCTGAGCTTGAAGCTTAGAGTTTTATTAGGGTTTCAATATATAGACATGAATGATTGAATTATTGGCTATATGGTTGAACTCAATCTTCAGCCCTCTCCCCTTCCAGGAGGTCTGGCTTATATCATGTGGCTCAAAGTCTCCACTCCTCTAATCACATGGATGGTCTTTTATCTATTGCCATTCCTTCACTAAGATTCTCAGCTCCACACTGAGTCATGTCATGAGCAAAAGCCACCAAGTACCCACCTTGAGTCACTTTGTTAGCATAAATAATCAGTTGTGGTGGGAAATTCCAAAGATTTAGAGGTTACCTCACCAGAACTGTTGAAAGTGCCCAATCAAATTCATTATTATACACCCCCTCCCCACTTCCCTTCCCTTCCCTACTGATACTTATTGGCCATTTCCTGTTATTCCTGCTCTCCATTTTATTATCTCTAACAGCTATTACTGTCTAATATATTTTCCCTATTTATCTTGTTTATTGTCTATCTCCCTCAAAGAAAACTGCAAGAGGCAGGAATTTCTGTCTAATCTGCCTTTGTTGAATCTTCTGTGAGTAAAAGAAGCCTGATATAGCATGTACTCAATATTTGTTGAATCAATGAATGAATTTTTGTAAATTCAGATTCTCTTATAGCCCTTCTACTCTTTAAATTAAAATACAATTTGGTTTAAGTATAGCATGACATGGAATATGAATCCATGAATATTTGCATATTTAAGAAATTATCCAATATAAACTTACTCTTTAGCCCTTTTTATGAGAGTAGAATATTTTAGGTGGCCTTTTAATTTACATCTATTAATCATGTCTTTATTTTACTGGATTGTAAAGCATACAGGAATTATTCACTTTAAAATAGTTGTATAGCCTACTTAGACATCACTGTCTCTGAATCCTTAGTCAAAAAGAATCTTAATTTCAGTGTTAGTTATAATAGGCAATATTGGGATTTATAACCCCAAGAAAACTTGATGTATGGAGATGAATGCATATTACTTCATATCAGGCATCCTGAGTCAATTAATGTCATTTAGAAAATATATATTTATGAAGTGAGTTATCAAATCTGGGCTCGCATATCAATGAAAAGCAAGTAATTTTCTGAAACAGATGTTACAAAGATAATCTGCCATTTTTGGTTAAATAAGCTAAAACTTAACACTTTTCAAATCTACATAAGAAGAAAAGTATAATAGATAATCTATAGACTACTTTTATGTACCACAATGTACAAAAATAATATAATAATAAAAATAAAGGAAAAATTACTCTTCATGGAAATTTTTAGGTATTATCACTTTAAAGTCTTTATTTTGTGACAAGAACAGAAAAACATTTTGAAAAATAGAAATGTCAAAATGTTTAAATGTATCTTATAACTTTGAAATTAAAATTATATAGTGTTTCAAAATTGTGTATCTGGAAAATATGTTGTATTTCACAAAGTTTTTAATTGATCCAGATATGAAGAGGATTATAACTCTAGTTAAGTTTTAAAGTCTTTGGAGATTTTTTCAAATTATAGAATAAAATGCTCCATCACTTTAATAGCTATTTCAATCACTTTATGAAACTATATCTGCATCCATAGGCAAAGGAATTTTATTATCTCTGAATTGTAATTTGGAGTGTCATGAGTTATTTCGTAGGACAAAGTTTGTTAAATCAACTCTGGCAGTGTCATTACTGCCTCCCTCTTGAACTCAAGTACAAGTCAGCTCTGTTTAAGACTCCATTTGCAGAAGCCAGAAATGAATGTGCAGTTAAAATGGTGCCATAAGTTAATTAGAGTGGAATTAGAAAGAAAGCAGGCAATTTAGGAACATAAGAATTGCTGTACCGAATCAGACCAATGGTTCTCCTGGTTTAAAATCCAGCCTCCAGCAGCTGTACTTGTTAGTTTCCAAAGCTTTAAAGGAAAGGGGAAAGACTCCATAATTCACCTAGACAAGTGTGCCATCTGTGAACTGGAGAAATTTTCTTCATGACCTCTCTCAAATAATACCCTAAAGCAAGAGGTTCCAATCCTGTTATGATATGGGTTTAGCTTGAATAGTTCTGCTTATTAATAATTCTTATTAAATCATCCAATTCCTGCATAAAATCAACTAGTCCATCAAGAAGCTGTTTATCACTAAAGCTTTTCAATTCATGGTTGAATATGTCTGCTTCTATGATAAAATATGAATTTATGATGTTTGTTTGATGCAAGTTCTTGATGGCAAAATCTACCTATACATAGTCATGCTAGACAAATGCTGGCTTCCTTTTTCAAAATTTACTAGGTTCACAGGCCTTTGGGGGATGAAAAATCTTGTATCTGCTATCACTACTCTCAACTTTCTATCCATTAATAATCTTCAGAAGGTACTGAATGATGAAGATTTTTATGTGCCTAACTTTTCAGAAAATACAACTGGAATTTTTCTTATATGATTTTGCTTAAGGCAGAATGAATCTAAGAGAAAAGAATGACTTGCTAATCCCAGCACTTTAGTCTTCTGTTTATGGTGAAAGTACTTGTGACTTCTTTATAGGTTTCTTGATTATTCTAGATATCACCCCAAGGTCAATAATTCTAAAATGTTATGTTCACAGTAGCCATTTCATCACAAATTCCTCAAGAATAGTAAATATCTACAAGCTAAAGTCTAAACCATTTTTCTAGACTTTCAGGTCTTAATGTGATAAGACTAATACCTATATCCTAAAGCTATAGCTCTAATAGCATCTCCTCTATCCTGGAATCCTTTGAACTAAGATGGAACACTCATTATTTGTGCCTGCGTTGATTCTGTTTCCTCTCTTTAGCTTTTCCAACTTTTCTTTTTAGCTCAGTTCCTTATTTCTTCTCCTTACTTCAGCTAGAGTCTCATCCCTTCAAGTAATTTCCTTTCAAACTTAGTGACTGCTCCCTCTTCTGATGATTTGTATCCCTTTGTTTATGCTTGGTTTAGGCTACCATCCATTGTTGGTTCTTTGTTTTCATGGATATTTTTGTTTGTAAATTCCCTGAGGGATATTATGTTTCCCATAATTATTTGTATTTCTAGAGCCTAGAGCAATGTCTGACTCATAACTATAGCTTAAAATTATATGATAAGAAAATCTATGGATTTTTGACTTGGAGCCACTTTCGCAGTGTTCACTGCTTTGAGTTTCTATTTGTATGACCTAGATAATAATATATTATTGAGTGCTACAAAGGTGTAAATGAATACTAAACTATTAATTTTTTTTAAAAAAAGAGTCAAGTATTATTGATTTTAAAACCACAGCGAAAGATATAAGAAATATCCACACAAAAAGAAAATATGAAAGTTCTGAATTGACTTAGACACACAATGGTAGGGAATGAAAAAAATTCAAGCAGAAGTAATAGCTGGGGCAAAGGCAAAGAGGTAAAACAAAAGAGGAAATTACTGCAGAATTTCCCTCATTCCTGTTGGCTGGCATCTGAATAGAATATCTGAAAATAAGCTTGGAAATGTGAGTTGCATCATGTTAATTAACCTTTATCTAAACCCACTGGGAGTTTTTAAAAGGATTTTAAGATGTGAACAGATCTTCAAGAAGGTAAGATCAGCTTAAAAGTGAGATGGAAGGCAGTTTCCTACAGTAATGAGGTTATTACATAATAAGGATATTTGTAATCAGTCTCCAACTCAGTCAGTGAGGATTAAAAACAGAATGAAATAAATGTGAGAGCTATTGAATAGATGGTATTCATGTGCACTGTGTAAGGCTGGGCCTGGGGTAAGGGGAAAAGATGAAACACAAAGAACGTTACCCTTTGATCATGTTGTAAAGAAACACAGCATTATTGAATAGAAAATGTATTTTTCTCCTTGTATGTTAAGCATAAATGCATGTAAAAAGGTCTTCAAATTTTACTTCCTACAGTTTTAACTAACATAGTGCTTCAAGGTGCTGAAAACATCCAATCAAGCTCATTTATTCTTGAAATCATCAAAACAAATCCACAAATGTTTTCTGACATTTTAAACAGCTCTTGTTGGTTTTTGAGAACATTTTTATCTAGCAATGATTTCAGTAGAGCTATAATGTCTTTCTTTAATTTTTTAGATATCCAAATGGGACCCAGAATAGTAGTATAAGTTGGCCTGCCTTCAAAAGCACTGAACAAAAATATTTAACCTTGAATACAGAGTCACCAAAAGTATATAATAAGCTACGTGCTCAACAATGCCGATTCTGGACACTCTTTTTCCCCAAAGTCTTGGAAATGACAGGTGTGTGTTTTTAATATTTGGTTAAATAATTGGATGTGGATTATTTAAAAAGGGGAAAAGTTAGACTATCCAAGGCACATTGATGATGTTAATCTGTGACTTTATAATTACTTGATTCCAATGCATCCATTATATTAACAACTTTCTTCCAGCAAGTTTGGATGTGTTTTGAGGGCTTACTATTTGAGCAGAACTTTAGTAGTTAAATTAAAAAAAAAAAAAGAAACAGAAAAATTTCACTACAAGAACATAAAACAGCATAACTAATATAGGGCCTATTGCTATTCAGCCAATCTTTGTTTAATTAATTAATGGGTAATAAAAAATAAATATATAAAATAAGTAATTCATACAACTGAAATTAGAACAAAATGTAACTTATACTCAAAAAGAGGTAAAAACAAATGTATTGGTAAATAGTGGAGGCCTTAATTTCTAAAGGGAAAAAAACTCCTCAAGTTTATGTTAAAAAAGACAAACCAATTATTTTTAAATATTCTGAACTTGGAGATATTTATCTAAGAACATGTACACATATTACATAATACAATGAAGGGATACTAATTTAGTTAACCAATCTCCAGGAAGTGATTACCTGGATTTATATAAGGAAATACTAGGAAAATTTGTTCAGATTATCATATTATTTCAAAATTCATTAGCCAAATCTATTTAAATCAACTTGAACATCTAACTTGAATGATCACATCTTTTGGGGGGAAAATAACATACCTACTTAATTCAATGCCTGGATTTAAAACGTTCAGCTGTTTATAACCCATGTGGCTTTTCTAGTCAATTTTCTACCTTAATTTACTCAAATAAAAGTAATTGACTTTCAACCATCAGACATATTGCTGGTCAGTTCCTTTATACCTTTCCATTCTGTTCAACATAACACTGTAATTTTCAGACTATATATTAAATATCACAATATAGTAGATGTTTTAATTTCTTATTTAGAGAGGGAAGAGGTTGGTTTCATGCAAATATGGGCACCTCAGAGCTGTATTTGACTGTTTAATATGCCTTTTGATTATCAGACATTACTCACCAAAATTATAATTATGTACTCCATCTGTTTGGGAAATGTTTCTGATATACCAGTGTTCTGTGTATGACCAAATGTTCTGTGACATAATATATATGCAGAGATGGGCTCTGCTTCCCTTGGCAGAGATACAGAGCTGCCCTTGTGTCCTGTGGGTGTGAATAACAATGAAGTAGTGCATTTAAACTGCCAAGAGACCAGAAGAGGTACCATTTAACACATCGCACACTTCACATTCTTAATCTCTACTTCAAATATTTTTAAATGAGAAGGTCATAATCTAAGAAAAAATAAGAGCCTGGTTGGTGGGATTGTAAATGACTAATTTATTATAAGCCAAACTGTGCCATTCTGGTTCAGGCACACATATGGTCTCTTGCAATTTATTTGTTGATAAAATAAAATTTGAATATCAGCAATTTCTGAAGATGTACTTCAGCATCTCTATCTCTAAATACTCAACTACTATAAAGCAGATTTAATAAACAAAATTCAAAAATTTTGGCTGGCTTTTGCTACTTCTTATGCAGTACTGAACAGCTTTCTAGTTTGAATAACACTGTGTGGAGATATCATACCTGCTCTGGGTTAGTATCATGCTCTGGGGACAGTTCCATGTGTCTTGAAAACTTAATTGAATATTGTAATACTATTTTTCTCAGATAATTCCTCCAAAAAAAGTTGCATTAAATATATAAATTTTAAAGTAAATGCATGTGATTTTATAACATCAACAATGTACTTCTTAATTTAAAAAATTATACTTAAACAAAAGCAATTTTAAATTACATTTTTTTAGTCTTTATAAATAATAAATAATGAAGAGGTTTAAAAAATGTTAAATGCACATGTTCTTATCATAGCTTATATTTTTCAAGTTGCAAAACTTCAAACGTTTCAATTTTTGATGTTTTGAAAATTGAAATTATTCAGATGACCTGGTGGAAGTTTTTACGAAAATACTATTTTTTAAAAATGCAGCTCTACCAGTAAAAGAAAATTTCAAAGAAGGACTACTGACTGGATCTTTTTAAAAGGAGAAATGTAATGCTTACCTTACTCACAATGGAAACCCAATAAGCTATCTATAAGTACCACTTGGGGAAGTTCGAGCAATAAATGTTCTTAAATAGAACAATCTGTAAGACCTGTTTAAACACAAGAATTCTAGCACTTAACTTTCAAACCATACTTTAGTACGTGCCTATGCTGTTATTGCATGCATCTTCAAGAAATAAAGTGTACTGGATTTGTTTCAAATGTTATCAAATTCAGAGTTTTTGTTGAGAATATAACTGTATAATGTCTCAGAATCATTTGAAAAAGAAAAACAACAGAGAAATGATCCATTCAGGGTCAGTAAGATACCAACATTGTCACTAAAAGTAGAAAAGTAAATTTATATAAAAGAAAACAAAATCTTTGACTTTCATATCTTACCAATAAAAAACAAATATTAGATCTAGTGATTCCTCTGAATAAATAATGAAGCATTACTACTTGCCAAAACTAAAGAAGACTGCATATAAATTTAAGAGCTGAGATACCACTTTGAAGAAGCATGTACTGGTACTTGCTAATCAGTTAGCAGGAATGGGAACCAAAAATGAGAGTAGAAAACTGGCTTGGAGGAAAAAATCAAATGGTAGTGCTGTTTCCATATTCTGGATTTTCCATTCCTCGTTAAAAGGAAAACAGAACAGAACAGAACAACAACAACAAATCTTTGGGTAACCTATAATTAAATCAAATTATCTTTTTGTTTCCCTTTAAAAGCATGAAATCTTCTCAAAGCCTAGCCTGAGTTTATAATAGGTCACTCACCACACACGCAACGATTATAACAGGACAGCTAACACGTTCTAAATCACTGCATAAAGAATTATGCTTTCTTATACAATTTTAATAATTGGTCAACAAATATGGAAATAAGCAAGAAGAAGAGATTTTCAAGGAACTCTCAAAATACATAAAATATGAGTTGTTTTTTTATTATAATGCTCAGCACAATTCAATGTCAATTTAATCTCTTCTCAAACTTGACCTTCATTAACAAATTTGGGTTGATTTACCTCTCTGTGTTCTCTCCTAACTCCTCAGACTTGATTAAATAGACTCAGCTCCAGTGAAATGTTACTTTTTTGTAAGATCAACAACACAAAATGTGACATTATTATTATTATGATTCTTTCTATAGGGAAGAAAGACTGACCTTCCCCCCCTCCCCCAAGTGAGACAACAATGTGAGCAAAATAAATACTACAAAAGTCTTGGGAAAAAAAGGGTCAATATGTTTATGAACTACTGGTATTGATCTAGCTGTACATGGATTCAATAAAGAGCCAAGTTAGGAATAAATTTTTGTAACGAGGTCAGTAAATTCATTAGTGGAGCTCCCAATGGGTGCATAGAGCTTGATTTCATAATGCAGACACCATCTCATTTATCCTTGACAGTAACACTGCAAAATAGGGAATACTATCCCCATTATAGTGGAAAACTAATTTGAGAAGTTATGAATTTTTTATGTCACTAATATAATAAGTGCTCAAGCTGGAATTTCAACCCATGTCTATACTGATGTTCTTTTCTTTATTTCCCATCATGGCACCTTTTTATGTCCATCTCACCAATGGTAGATCTATAGACGCTTAAACAGCATCCTCATTTAGGAGAGGGGGGGAGGGAGGAACAGTTCTCATTTTGGTTTTGACTCATGTCATGGGACTCAGTTTTTATTATTATTATTTTTTAATTATGGTGCATTCTGTTTCCCTGCATTCTGTTAGAAAATAATTAAACGTTTTATATTTTATTGTCTTGTTCAATGTTCAGTACTTCTAAATGAAAGATGTAAACCAGGGTTACAGGGCATTTGTACAATATACGGTTAAGCATTTCAATACACTAAACTGTATAGATGTTTGCTTATGACACATAAGGAAATAAACTTGCATGTATATGAAGCAATTGATTTGGAATTATTCCAATAGCAAGGAAAAAATCATATCTAGGACATTTCCTCTAAGAATTAAAATTTATGTTCTAAATGCTAAATTACCAATAATTTATTTGTTATATCAAAAGTTTTGTCCTTTCTGAGCGATAGGTCCTTATTTCATGTAAGTAATATTTAAACCACATTAGTTGCCATAAAAAATGACATAAGAATGGATAATTTGTTTACAATATTTGATCTTTCTTCCCATCTAATGTTTCTTTGACTCTGGAAAAGTTCTATTTTTCACAAAGAAATTATAGTCATTGACCTTTAAAAGTCATTTTTACATAAATATAAGACTTTTTAATGAATTTTTAAATATTTGTCCATTTTCCAAGCATTATGAACACTTCAAACCTAGATTTATTATCAATTCCAGAGAATATTTTGACAGCTGTACGAATGTTTGAAGTAGCTTGATTTTTATATAAACTAAAAATGAATCACTGAAAATGCTCCATTATTACTAATATAAATAAAAGGAAGACACTTTTTCATGTATATAATAATATAGTATGAGATCACATGAACTCTCTTCTCTAATATCTTACAAATATATAATTATTTTTTTAAATTCCAAAGTATATATTAAAAAAATTCTATGTCCTTATTTTTAGAAAAATAGAAATAACTTAAAATTTTGTTTGTAAACCAATGACCAGCTCAGCACCCTGGAAGCTTAAAACAGTAAGAGTACTACAAGTATATAAAATACTTACAAATTTAAACAATTTAAATCATCTTCTAGACTTATATCTATTTATGTTAGAAACATATATAATTTTAAAAGCTAGCATTTTAAGAGTTTCTGTTGTTCACAAACTTTTTTCTTTAATGTAATACACTTTCAAATAAGTCAAGATTTTAAGGTTCTTGTAGTACATAGACAGAACATTTTTGGTTCATTGCTTCACATTATTTTTTACTTAAACACTCCTCTCCGTTTGACACATACTAGCATTTTGCAAATTACTGGAAAGCAGAGATTGTCTTAGTCACCTTTCTCATTTGCAAAGCAATTCATAAACTTGTCTCCTATAGTAGTTCCAATAAAATACTTTTAATGACTAAGCATTGTTTGGAATTAAAATATATTGATAAAAGAAGAATGCAAAATCTATATAGAATGCCGATTGCAAAGTTATCTTTATGCAAATAATTATTGTGATATAAACACTTTCATCAGGAATAATATCCTGAAGTATAATTATATATGTAAGTAAGATGCACTAAATTAAATTTTTGTTATGAGTAGGAGAATCATGAAAAGAGAATATTAACTACATATTTTTGGAAACAAAAACAAATATATGAAATGTAGTATAATTTGGCATATAATATATACATGCATTTTTCATTTTATGTATGATAAATTTTTGAATTTTATATACATTTTATACTAGTATATTATTTGCATTTTCATGTAATATATAAAAAAATTATTAAAAGCTATTCACGTAGTAAGAAAAATTGATAATAACAAAGGATAAAAAAATGTGATGTAGTGTACTTGGAAAAAATGGCATCTGCAATCAAAATTATTTTTTAATTAATGTAAACAAGGATTAAAATTTAGATTAATTCAATTTATTCCATGTTTAACAGGAAATATTGATGAAGCAGAACAAGAATGGAAAGCAGGATTCCATCGCTGGAACAATTACATGATGGACTGGAAAAATCAATTTAATGATTACACTAGCAAGAAAGAAAGCTGTGCAGGTCTCTAATTAATAGATTTACCCTTGGTAGAATGTTCATTTTCCTGTAAATCAAGGTGAAAATATCAGTAGCTCTCTTACACACCTAGTAAGAAAGCTATTACAAAGCTTAACAAAAATGCCAGAAGGATAATATCTTTCTCACACCTATGACTTAGCATTGTACCTAGTATTCCAAAACCCAACTGTCTAGAATATGTTCAATTAAATTTTCACAATATAAAGTTTGACAATTAATTATATGCATATAAAAATAATTAGTGACTTCAAACTTTTTCTTTCCCAAATAACTTTAATATTTATTTCCTAAAATGTATCTGTATTTTGTTTTGGGTTGCCTATTTCTTTTCTTTTTCTTTTTTCTTTTAAATATATCTTTATTGATTTCAGATAGAAGAAGAGAGAGGGAGAGAGAGAGAGAGAAACATCAATGACAAGAGTCATTGATCAGCTGCCTCCTGCACGCTCCCCATTGGGGATCGAGCCCACAACCCGGGCATGTGCCCTGACCGGGAATCGAACCCCGATCGCCTGGATCCTAGGTCGATTCTCAACCAATGAGCCACGCCTGGTCAGGCGGTTTCCCATTTCTTTTCATCACCACTCATAAAAGGGCATTTTTTAAAAATCAATGAAGTCTTGAAACACTGTATACTATAATTTGCAATACTGCTTCCCCTAATTAATTTATGAATTTAATGTCAGTATTCATTTAAAAAAGAAACAGAAGAGCAATTCTCCTTTGTTTTTAACATAAAGCAGGAGGGAATCTTAAAATGAAAGGCTTGGTCACTTGGATAGAAACAAAATGTTGCTACTAAGAGATAAAATGCAAAACAATATACGTCTGTTATATGTTTTTAGAAATATATATGCTTAGAATCCTCAAATTATATTCTTTATTCTTTCAACTCTTACCCTTTTGTAACTCCCCATTCCTTGACTCTCCCCAAACATGTACATCGATAAATTACTCTTTCTGTAACTCAAAAAAAAAAAAAAAAAAAAAAT